CTGGCCGTCCGGCCAAACTGAGCTATCGGGGGGGAAGAGCCTTGGTGAGAGAGGTAAAGAAGAACCCAAAGATCACTGTGGCTGAGCTCCAGAGATGCAGTTGGGAGATGGGAGAAAGTTGTAGAAAGTCAACCATCACTGCAGCCCTCCACCAGTCGGGGCTTTATGGCAGAGTGGCCCGACGGAAGCCTCTCCTCAGTGCAAGACACATGAAAGCCTGCATGGAGTTTGCTAAAAAACACCTGAATAAGATTCTCTGGTCTGATGAGACCAAGATATAACTTTTTGGCCTTAATTCTAAGCGGTATGTGTGGAGAAAACCAGGCACTGCTCATCACCTGTCCAATACAGTCCCAACAGTGAAGCATGGTGGTGGCAGCATCATGCTGTGGGGGTGTTTTTCAGCTGCAGGGACAGGACGACTGGTTGCAATCGAGGGAAAGATGAATGTGGCCAAGTACAGGGATATCCTGGACGAAAACCTTCTTCAGAGTGCTCAGGACCTCAGACTGGGCCGAAGGTTTATCTTCCAACAAGACAATGACCCTAAGCACACAGCTAAAATAATGAAGGAGTGGCTTCACAACAACTCTGTGACTGTTCTTGAATGGCCCAGCCAGAGCCCTGACTTAAACCCAATTGAGCATCTCTGGAGAGACCTAAAAATGGCTGTCCACCAATGTTTACCATCCAACCTGACAGAACTGGAGAGGCTCTGCAAGGAGGAATGGCAGAGGATTCCCAAATCCAGGTGTGAAAAACTTGTTGTATCTTTCCCAAAAAGACTCATGGCTGTATTTGATCAAAAGGGTGCTTCTACTAAATACTGAGCAAAGGGTCTGAATATTTAGGACCATGTGATATTTCAGTTTTTCTTTTTTAATAAATCTGCAAAAATGTCAACAATTCTGTGTTTTTCTGTCAATATGGGGTGCTGTGTGTACATTAATGAGGAAAAAAAATGAACTTAAATGATTTTAGCAAATGGCTGCAATATAACAAAGAGTGAAAAATTTAAGGGGGTCTGAATACTTTCCGTACCCACTGTATATATATATATAATTTGGGGGGGGCAATAGGGATTTCACCTAGGGCGCCAGAAACGGCCCTGCCTATACAAATACAACCTATAAACACTTTAAAGGAGACAGACATGTAGATGTTTGTGAAAGATGTTTTCTCTGTTTTGGAGGGATGATGATTTTTAAATCATACCCTATTTATTGCATCAAAATTTGTAAATACTTTACTATATTTAAGGGTGGATAATTTTATCAGTTGTTTATTGCAACAATACATAACTACAATAACTTTGTCTAGTGCTCTTTTGAAAGTTTATAGCATGATTTGTGAAAATTTAACTATACTGAATGGCATGGCATAGTCTTCTTCATGGCTAGTTTTTGCGTATTTCATTTCATTCTGTAGCCTACTTGTTCTACAGATCTGTGTGTACTAGTGTTAAATGCTACTGTTTTTGACAGCGTTGATGACGTTTAGGACAGATAATATTGTGATAATTTTTGAGTTTCCCTTACCGAATGTCGTATCCTGTCAGCAAAAAGCTGTCCATGGGCTTTTTTGATTGCTTTTAGTTTAAGTGCCGGTGCAGTGTTGCCAGATATTGATACTAAAACAAACTAAAAAATAAACTGAAATTATTTCCAATCTTTTGCAGATAAGATAAGATAAAGATATCGCTGACTCTAAACTGCAACTTTCTACTTTATTAACTTTCTAAAGTGTTAAATTAAGTGGAAATGACAAGTTCAAGAACGCTTATAATAGCTGGATCTGGCCCTCACTCACAACTCTCAAGCCTCGTTCACTCCGCCAGCGTCTCTCAGCGATCATTTTCATACCAGGGACGCTAAACATTCTTGCAAACTGTCTAAACTGAATTCTACAGGTCATGCAGGCATTCATATGAGGAGTTTAACAGCAAATTAGTCATTCAAAGAACAAATTTTATTTTTTAACATGAATTTTTGACCTCGGTGGCCTCATAGCAGGTTACGGGCCTGGTCACTACATAAGTAGTTTTTCAACAGTTGGCAAAACAGTTTACAGACAAGCTGTTATGTGTAGGTGAGTACATTTAATATACATTATATACTTACAAGCTTTAAGAAATTTCAACAATGTAACGCATAGGTCTTTAACCCTGCACCTGGGGACCCACTGTCCTACAAACCTGCTTCAGCACAGCTGGCCTGTGACTTTTCAAGTGATCCTGAAGACCTCGATTAGCAGGTTCGGTGTGTTTGATTGGGGTTGGAGCCAGTGGCCGAGCTAGAGTTTTATACGGGGGTCTATAGACCATGACAGAAAATCAGTGTATGACTCCAACCTGGCATAAAAAAGCATAAATAAAACTTACAATCGCTGATTATTTCACATTATCCCACATTAGCTATATACATTCCTACCATAACTTCAGCGGTTGAAGCAAAAGATCTAACATTAACTTATACAGTGAGTTTTGTAAATGTTGTTCAGGAAACTTCAACTTCAAACAGGGCTGCCAACTTTTGAGTTCAGTCTGGAGTGAGAATTATTCAGGAATAATTAACAAGCTTGTGATTAAGTAGGCTACATGTTATTTTTTCTCAATTTTTCTAAACTAAACTATACAGGAAGCCCTGTTGTTAAAGGGATAGTTCACCCAAAAATGAAAATTCTGTCATCATTTACTCACCCTCATGCCGTTCCAAACCTTGTAGGGAAAAAAAATACTATGGAAGTCAATGGCAACCACCAACTGTTTGATTACCAGCAATCTTCAAAATATCTTCTTTTATGTTCAACATAAGAAAGCAACTCATACAGGTTTGGAACAACATGAGGGTGAGTAAATGATGACAGAATTTTCATTTTTGGGTCAACTATCCCTTTAAGGTTAAAAGTAACAATTGATTTGTATACAACAGTGGCGTAGCCAGAATTGTATTTTTGGGCGGGCCTGGGCAAAAGTGAGCGTGCACTAGGCTAACTAACGGACGGAGTCCAGTGGCTTAACGCAAGTCCCCCAGCCACGAACTTAGGGATGGGTGGGTGTTGTCTGGTTATATGAGGCAATATTGTAAATATTTGTTTTAAACCATGAAGGCGAGCCAATGGATATCACACAAGCAACGTGCAAACTTTGCGCAAGAGTTATGCGGTGAACGAACCTCTTAATCTCAGTCGATTCACTTGAAAGTGAAAGTAAAAACCGATGGCGCTTTCGGTATCTGACACTGCATTAACTGCGCATATTCCCTCAGAGACGACGAGAGACGAATCTACTTCATTATACTGATAATGCTATGGTAGCCATAAATGTTTTAATTTACTCCCTTAATATTTCTCTTGGAGTCCGAACATAGGCTAGTGGGGAAAAAAATTAAAAGAAGAAATAAATAAAGAGAGAAGAAACATATTTCGTGTTAAACAGGTTTTTTTTTCCTTTTTAAAAACGTTGGTGCTTGAAATAGGCCTAAAGCCTTTTCATTGATGACTGCAGTGTTAATAATTTTAATTATAGGCCTATAACTCATTGTATAATAAACCTGTTTTGAAAGACCTTTTTAAAAACATTTTCAATGAGGAGTAAGCTAGCCTAATCTTTATTATCGTCGCAGCGCCTCAGTTATGCGGTGTGCGCTATGAAATTATTGCGGGGCAAATTAATAGGCTAATAAGAAGAATGTAACAGGCTTAATTGAAAATGCCAAATTAGATATAACTAAAGTGTATACAATAATTTTATTCAGAAATGTCATGTTTGTGATTTTTTTTTTTTTTTTTGTTAATTCGTTACTTAAATTCTTTAGACAGCGCATACCAAACGACTGAACACCGACTGAAAACCCTGCCTGAGCTCAAATGACATTCATAATCGGCCTGACAGTGTTTCCCGGCTTCACAGAATGAAGCGGTTCGCGCGTGCGGACTGATGCACGGGCTGTCTCCCTCATCAGTGTGAGTTTTTAAAAGTCTTTTTTTTACAGAATTATGCATTGCTGCTGTTTTTCTAACATTTTCTAACACAGCTGCAAATTACAGTCCAACTGAATGCGTGAACACGCTTCGAATTTACATGCGCGACATGCCCGAAACAGTCTGGATAACAATCAAACTCATTTGATTTATTTTAGTTATTTGACATGTTATAATAGTTCTCTAATTGTGTTAAAATAGATCAAACAATCATTATTTAACAAATATTATATGTGTATAATAAACTGGGGGGGCCTTTCATCAGAGTGGGCCCGTCAGGCCCTTCCGCGGCCTACGCCCCTGGTATACAAGTTCATATTACACCATTTTTATAATACCGTTATATCTACATTTTTATTAACTATAATAAAAAAAGAGCAATTATATTGAGTAAAAAATAGTATAAATGTATTTTTTGCAAAATTCTCCCCGTGTACATTTTTCTCCCTAGTTTATGGACACTGAATGGATTTTCTGAGGTTACAGTGTTTTCAAGCTGCTGTCTTTCCTCGGCTGAAACACTCACTGAGTGATTGCATGAGGCTGTTCAGCAAGTCAGTGAATCTTTCGACACGCCCTCGGATGTTCGTTCATGTTTATTTCATGCTATTTAGAATGCAAGGGCTCCAAAACAAAACTGTATTTATCGTTTGAAATTCTTAATAGAACTAATTCTACATGACTCCCTGAACATGCAATTTTTCATTTTGATGAGATTATTTTCTTAATATGGTAAAAATGATTAAAAAAAAGGGATGAGACATCGCACGTTTGAAGCTGCTGATGAATCAAAGTGTGCTGATCATTTCTTATGGTTTTTCCATTATTGTTTGGGGGAGGCGTGAACATATATGCATATATGTGATCTGAAATCTGCCATGTTTTCTTATGGGAACAGCTCTTCTTTGTGCTGATGGATTTTTTTTCATTGTATTGTATTGTTCCAGCTGCGCTGAAGTTCTGAAAAAAGTCAAGGCAGGCTTTTATTTTGAAAGGGTGTGTTTGGTGTGCGACAGAGCGCTGTCTCCGAGTGGTCTCGCGCTTCACTCTGCCGCCGCTCAACAGATCAGACGCACGGTCGCGAATGACCGGAAAGCACGCCGAGCCGCTGCTGTATCTGTGGACATTTGCTTCCTCGGAGCCCGTTTGACTCTGGAGTATCCAAGCGGGATTGTTAGTCTGTGTAAGAGACACACACAGAGAGAGCAGTGAAGGAGGAGGAGGCCACGGCCACTCCTTTGATAAACTGTGCAAACGCAAAACAAGCTCGCGCATACAGCTGCTGCTGGCTTCTGTTTACATCCAGCAGATGTGTTCGGACTCATAATTCGCTCGAGCGCTGTGTTTGGATCCTCTGCGTTCACGATTATTCCCGTGTCGGATCTTCAAAGAGGAAACAATAACCTGGTAACACGAATGCAGGTGAGACCGTCCTGCAAACATCTCTTTAGTCACTGAACACTGAGTACCATGGTGTTATTCGAAGTGCCGTCTAAATACCATGGTGCATAAACATGGTAATCATTCAGTACGTCTGCATAGCAAAGTATCATGCTGTTACTCTCTGTTATATAACTGTGCTATCACAGTATTGGTCTCAGTGACACTTTTGCTGTGTTACACGTTACTTACTATAGTAACAGCTGCGCAGAGTTACCACCAACTAAACCAAACCCTAACCTTGTGCAAGTAATTACATCCAGCTTAGGCCAGTCACGATAACAACTTTTTGCTGTGCGATATATTGCCCTAGAAATAATTGCGATAAGCGATGTTATTGTCATTTTAAAGACCATTATATGCCACTGAATATATATTCATAATGTAACAGCATAATAATGCAAGAAGGGCTACACCCTTTCAAATGACAACAAACTTTACATTTTTAAGAATATTTAGATCATGGAAATTAAGTATCACGATATTAGATACCTGAATAAATAGTAAATAAACATTTTCTAACAAAAAGTGCAAAAAAGAAAAATGCACAACTAACTTGTGTGGAGCCTTTTTGACCTTCTTTTCTCTGTAAATTAAGGGGTGCACACTATTGCTGAAAAACTCAGATGTCCGTATGCACAAAGACACAGATCCCTGAACAAGGCCATATCTGCAGATGAAACTTAGTTTAGAAGCATTTTTAAAATGTGAACTAGCACCTCATGACTACACCACGTTATGTACGAGAAGCTGCAAAAGACACAGGCGCAAGTGGAATGCAAAAAAACACGGTGACATTAATGTATAAGTAAATATAATTGCCGATATATTGCGTCACCAAAAATGATTGAGGTCATGTACATATATTGCGCGATAAATCGATATATTGATTATTGCGACAGGACTAATGCTGCTAATACTTAAATCACAAGAACTTGGGTTGAATTACATTTAAAATATGGGGGTTCTTTGGAATTATTTGAAGGAACTTGGAGTAGCATCTAATACCATGGTAAATTAATTTGGTAAACTGTATTTTTTGCAGTGACCCTTGGTGATAGATACACTTGGTGATAGATACAGATGGTGATAGATACACTTGGTGATTGATACACTTGGTGATAGATACACATGGTGATAGATACACATGGTGATAGATACACATGGTGATAGATACACATGGTGATAGATACACATGGTGATAGATACACATGGTGATAGATACACATGGTGATAGATACACATGGTGATAGATACACATGGTGATAGATACACATGGTGATAGATACACATGGTGATAGATACACATGGTGATAGATACACATGGTGATAGATACACATGGTGATAGATACACATGGTGATAGATACACATGGTGATAGATACACATGGTGATAGATACACATGGTGATAGATACACATGGTGATAGATACACATGGTGATAGATACACATGGTGATAGATACACATGGTGATAGATACACATGGTGATAGATACACATGGTGATAGATACACATGGTGATAGATACACATGGTGATAGATACACATGGTGATAGATACACATGGTGATAGATACACATGGTGATAGATACACATGGTGATAGATACACATGGTGATAGATACACATGGTGATAGATACACATGGTGATAGATACACATGGTGATAGATACACATGGTGATAGATACACATGGTGATAGATACACATGGTGATAGATACACATGGTGATAGATACACATGGTGATAGATACACATGGTGATAGATACACATGGTGATAGATACACATGGTGATAGATACACATGGTGATAGATACACATGGTGATAGATACACATGGTGATAGATACACATGGTGATAGATACACATGGTGATAGATACACATGGTGATAGATACACATGGTGATAGATACACATGGTGATAGATACACATGGTGATAGATACACATGGTGATAGATACACATGGTGATAGATACACATGGTGATAGATACACATGGTGATAGATACACATGGTGATAGATACACATGGTGATAGATACACATGGTGATAGATACACATGGTGATAGATACACATGGTGATAGATACACATGGTGATAGATACACATGGTGATAGATACACATGGTGATAGATACACATGGTGATAGATACACATGGTGATAGATACACATGGTGATAGATACACATGGTGATAGATACACATGGTGATAGATACACATGGTGATAGATACACATGGTGATAGATACACATGGTGATAGATACACATGGTGATAGATACACATGGTGATAGATACACATGGTGATAGATACACATGGTGATAGATACACATGGTGATAGATACACATGGTGATAGATACACATGGTGATAGATACACATGGTGATAGATACACATGGTGATAGATACACATGGTGATAGATACACATGGTGATAGATACACATGGTGATAGATACACATGGTGATAGATACACATGGTGATAGATACACATGGTGATAGATACACATGGTGATAGATACACATGGTGATAGATACACATGGTGATAGATACACATGGTGATAGATACACATGGTGATAGATACACATGGTGATAGATACACATGGTGATAGATACACATGGTGATAGATACACATGGTGATAGATACACATGGTGATAGATACACATGGTGATAGATACACATGGTGATAGATACACATGGTGATAGATACACATGGTGATAGATACACATGGTGATAGATACACATGGTGATAGATACACATGGTGATAGATACACATGGTGATAGATACACATGGTGATAGATACACATGGTGATAGATACACATGGTGATAGATACACATGGTGATAGATACACATGGTGATAGATACACATGGTGATAGATACACATGGTGATAGATACACATGGTGATAGATACACATGGTGATAGATACACATGGTGATAGATACACATGGTGATAGATACACATGGTGATAGATACACATGGTGATAGATACACATGGTGATAGATACACATGGTGATAGATACACATGGTGATAGATACACATGGTGATAGATACACATGGTGATAGATACACATGGTGATAGATACACATGGTGATAGATACACATGGTGATAGATACACATGGTGATAGATACACATGGTGATAGATACACATGGTGATAGATACACATGGTGATAGATACACATGGTGATAGATACACATGGTGATAGATACACATGGTGATAGATACACATGGTGATAGATACACATGGTGATAGATACACATGGTGATAGATACACATGGTGATAGATACACATGGTGATAGATACACATGGTGATAGATACACATGGTGATAGATACACATGGTGATAGATACACATGGTGATAGATACACATGGTGATAGATACACATGGTGATAGATACACATGGTGATAGATACACATGGTGATAGATACACATGGTGATAGATACACATGGTGATAGATACACATGGTGATAGATACACATGGTGATAGATACACATGGTGATAGATACACATGGTGATAGATACACATGGTGATAGATACACATGGTGATAGATACACATGGTGATAGATACACATGGTGATAGATACACATGGTGATAGATACACATGGTGATAGATACACATGGTGATAGATACACATGGTGATAGATACACATGGTGATAGATACACATGGTGATAGATACACATGGTGATAGATACACATGGTGATAGATACACATGGTGATAGATACACATGGTGATAGATACACATGGTGATAGATACACATGGTGATAGATACACATGGTGATAGATACACATGGTGATAGATACACATGGTGATAGATACACATGGTGATAGATACACATGGTGATAGATACACATGGTGATAGATACACATGGTGATAGATACACATGGTGATAGATACACATGGTGATAGATACACATGGTGATAGATACACATGGTGATAGATACACATGGTGATAGATACACATGGTGATAGATACACATGGTGATAGATACACATGGTGATAGATACACATGGTGATAGATACACATGGTGATAGATACACATGGTGATAGATACACATGGTGATAGATACAGATGGTGATAGATACACTTGGTGATAGATAGACTTGGTGATAGATACAGATGCTACTCTGATATGAGCCGAACCCTCCATTATTGGAAGTATAGTCAATCTCTTAAACACACTGACTGCTGCAACACATGAAATCCGGTGTGACGTATGTAATTTGACCACCAACAGCGGCTTTAAACAGGCAGATGGGGTTCTTTCGTACATTTGTATTTAGGGATGTGTGTGTTTTGACTTCGCTTTGTATATCACACAGACTTCCTTGGTTACGTGGATCTCAGTGCCATGGCAGTAACGCAGTGGGCCCTTTAGACAGCCAGACCTCATAAACACCTGTCAACAGGGCCGTTTCTAGGAATAGGCGAGCTAGGCGGTCAGCTAGGGCGCCACCAACTGAAGGGGCGCCAATGAGCACACGTACTGGCACTTTTAGCAGGGTTGTGATAAAGAGTGACACGGTCACCCTGAAATATGACTGCCACCCCCAATGGATCCCCCAACATTATTGGGCTAGAGTACTTTCAATCTGATGATGCCTGTATGCCACTAGATCAGAGTGCTGTCAATTGCTGCCTGATTGTTGCATGCAAAGTTTGCATTTGGAGCGCTCAACAACGCCATTAGATCAGTGGGCTCTGTCTTTTTTCACAAACCAGTGCTTTGGCAAGGTAACACTTTTTTTGCCATGCAATAAAGCTAAGTTCAAAGGCCAATTTAAAATATTGGTACAGTAAATGAAGTGCACAAAATCAGTATTTTGTTTAGGCAGTATTTGTGGCAAATTTGTCCAAAAGGTGTGCGTTTTTTGCGCCAATGCATTGTTAAAGGATCAGCGTGTCATGTAATATTCCCATATAAACGTTAACATCCAATTAAAAAATATTTGTATAGTAAAATTCTCTAATTCACGTGATCAATACATCCTTTATTAGACCGCTTTGTTGAGTTAAATACATCCTCACGGAGGTGTCGAAATGCTGAATCAATTCATTCACTTCCAACAGCGCTTAATGGGAGCAGCGTCATAGAGGGCAGAGTGTCAGGTTATTTAAAGGGGACGTTAACGCGTTAACGAGTAGCAAATGATTAAGTAGCTGCATTGGTTACTTTTATGCCACTGATAAAGCTTTTATATGTAGTTTGGGGTAACAGGGATTTTATAGGTTTGACTGAAATAATAATGCAATAACTGACACTTTAAATCAATGTTTCAAGAAACAACAACAAAATTTTTTTACAAAAAACAGATAAAGACAAAAAAGTAGCCATTGATAATATCTAAACAATATTTAATAGTATATAGTATCCAAATCAAAATGTAATAAAATTAATTTATGTGTGATTTATGTGTAAATTATATATATAATTTTTTTGGGGGGGGGCAATAGGGATTTCGCCTAGGGCGTCAAATTGGCTAGAAACGGCCCTGCCTGTCAAGAACGAACGCTGGGATCCGGCTTTAGTTCTAAAAGCTGAACCAAATGGAAGCAAGGAAATCCAGTCTTGTCAGTCAAATGCTTTCTTAATGTGTTTTAAAATATCTGTTTGGCTACATTGAGCTATAAATGTAGAAGTCAAGTTAAATAAATAAATAAAACATTAAATGATGAATATATTTATGACATTTAAAAAAAAAACATTGTATTAATGCATTAAAACATTCATACAGTTGAAGGAATTAAATACAATTAGGAACATTGGCCAATATTTGGAAGGATCTGATATGGGTTTGAATCTAATGAGAGCATCATTTTGTGAGTTTATTTGATGAAGGCTGATCCTGTGGAGATTCTGCCGTGAAGGGCTCATGCATGTTATTGTTGTCTCAGGTTGGCTGCTGTATTTAGTTACCCAACAGAAACGCGGGAGGCCTCGGGAACGTAACCTAATATGTAAGCGCTGCTATCTATCCAGCATTCTTGGATTGCATTTTTGCGTTCAAGTTCAAGACTCCTGCTGCAGACAAAACTATTGTCTTCTGTAGAGCTGCTTGGATCTGAAATGAACTTGTTTCAGAATTGATGAACTGTACAGTTATTGAACAGAACTGAATCAAACACTGAACTGACTGGAGCTCAATAATAACACCGTCCTTGCTGTAGAGCTGCTTTAGATTTGAGCTGAGTTCACTTCATAACTAATGAGGTTTGCAACATTCGCTCTGTTATCGAACTGAATTGAGCTGCATAATGGCACCATTGTCTTCTGTAGAGCTGCTTTACAGCTAAAAGTGAATTTGTTTCATAAGGGAATTTGGCCAGATTAGCACTGTTATTTTCCTGTTTATTACTGAGACTGTTAACAGCGGTTCTAGCCAATTTAACCAGTTTTCATTGTTATAATTGTTGAATGCATTGTTGATTTGCAACCAGGTTATTTTGAGGGTAAAACTGGGCCTTTATGGGTGAATCTCATGAGACCTGTCAAAAACATGTCTGCTTGGATTTCTCCCCAAACCCAAAAGAAAGAGAGAACTTCCACTTTGTTTATAGAAAGGCATCTTGTTTTAGTTTCCTTGTGAATTTCATTCATGCTTCCTTCTGCTGACCAGCTCTTTGAAGATGCTGATTTCATTTTCCAGCAGGATTTGGCACCTGCCCACACTGCCAAAAGCACCAAAAGTTGGTTAAATAACCATGGTGTTGGTGTGCTTGACTGGCCAGCAAACTCACCAGACCTGAACCCCATAGAGAATCTATGGGGTATTGTCAAGAGGAAAATGAGAAACAAGAGACCAAAAAATGCAGATGAGCTGAAGGCCACTGTCAAAGAAACCTGGGCTTCCATACCACCTCAGCAGTGCCACAAACTGATCACCTCCATGCCACGCCGAATTGAGGCAGTAATTAAAGCAAAAGGAGCCCCTACCAAGTATTGAGTACATGTACAGTAAATGAACATACTTTCCAGAAGGCCAACAATTCACAAACATTTTTATTTTTTATTGGTCTTATGAAGTATTCTAATTTGTTGAGATAGTGAATTGGTGGGTTTTTGTTAAATGTGAGCCAAAATCATCACAATTAAAAGAACCAAAGACTTAAACTACTTCAGTCTGTGTGCATTGAATTTATTTAATACACGAGTTTCACAATTTGAGTTGAATTACTGAAATAAATGAACTTTTCCACGACATTCTAATTTATTGAGATGCACCTGTATATTACTCATGGTCACCATTGAGAATAATAGGAATTCAAATAAATTCAAAATTAAAAGTCCAGATGCATTACAGTAAAGAGAATTTGAGGACAAATGGGCTTATTTGTTACGAAAATAAAGTTGCAGTGCAAAAAAATCTTCAAAATAAATAAATGAACCATGCAAAATGCATCATGAAATGGTAAGCACAGCCCAGACCCATATAGCAGGCTCTCACTCAATGCAAACTGACCCAAACCCCTCAGGGACTAATAGATCACGTCTCTAGATCATGATGCAGGAAACGACAATGATGCCATATTTTTTGCATCCTGTCAGCAAAGGTGGTGAAAATGTGCATTGAAGTAACACCTGATGTGTCATAATGTGTGTGATTATGACTGATCTGTCAACTACTTTCCTAAAACAGGCTAGAGTTGAGAAGATCCTACAGCAGCAGTGAGCCGGGCCGGAGTGAGGTGAAAGCACAGGCACATCGCAGCCATGCTGGAGGAGGACATGGAAGTGGCCATCAAGGTGGTGGTGGTGGGGAACGGAGCGGTCGGGAAGTCCAGTATGATCCAGCGATACTGCAAGGGCATCTTCACGAAGGACTACAAAAAGACCATCGGGGTTGACTTTCTGGAAAGACAGATCATGTAAGCATGCTTTTACGCTTCAGTCGGGTCGCTTTGAAATGCTTTTATAGGTTTCTTACTGTCTGCGCTTCATGTCTTTGCTGCTCAGTTTCTTAAAATGCCATTTTCACCTCTTTTACCTGGAAGAAGAAAACCATTTCTTTAGAAACTGTAATCTAAGAAGTTGTTTTGGATAGCATGCTGACATTACTAATGCAAAGTATTTTTGCACATTTTTTTGTGAGAGTGATCTACTGCATTTGTCAGAATGCGTAGTATAGACAGACACAAGAGTATATTACATGGAATATGTATTCGAGATGCATTCACCTTGACCTTCATCGTACAAATGAACCAGAAGCTATATCAAACGTGAGTTTTAAAATCTATAGCCATGTCTTGAATATTGTGGGGAACCAAAGCACATTTTTGGCGTGTTAATAGTGGTTTAAAGGAATTAACGGATTTAAAGGGAGCTACGGGAATAAAGAAGAATGGTAGAAAATAACTTTATGAAGTAATTCATTCAACTATTTGCAAATAAACCAAAATAATGTTCTTTTTAGCAACATCATATGACCCCTTTAATAAACATGGAAACAGCAATGACACACCCAAAGTCTTCCAGGTTTTAAATGTTTTTTTGAACGATATGTAATCCATAAAAAAGTAACTGAAATCTGATTATGGGCATTTTAAAATGTAATATACTCTACTTACAAGTACTTAATTTTTGTAATCTGATTACATAATCCAGATTACATGTAATCAGTTACTACCCAGCACTGACTGCACAGTAGGTACAGTAATCAACTCATACATACAAACAAAGCCTGAATCATTCACAACTTTGTATTTGGCCCAAAAAGATTTGTATTTGTTTTTCACCTAATTATTTGGCCAAATGCATATATCAGGTTTACATTACATGCGTTTCAGAGTTAACCTGAAATCTGATTATGGGCATTTTAAAATGTAATATACTCTACTTACAAGTACTTAATTTTTGTAATCTGATTACATAATCCAGATTACATGTAATCAGTTACTACCCAGCACTGACTGCACAGTAGGTACAGTAATCAACTCATACATACAAACAAAGCCTGAATCATTCACAACTTTAAACAGAAATAAATGCCAGTAAATCTGGCTCACATTTGTCATGGCAGACGACAAAATACTTCCGAACGAGCAAACGTCCTGTTTGCATTTAAATATGGTTCATGACAAATAACACGTGGTGACGCTCAGGCAACCCCTGAAAAGAACATCCTCTTTCTTTTTTAGCAGTAGTTCCTGGATATCAGTCTCTTTCCAATATAACATGAGATGTGTCATCGGCAGTAAATGCCAGAGAAAATCTCTGCGGTTTACTGTTTGTACACACAAAACGAAACGAGGAATCAATGAGCTAGCAGTGGCTTCATCTGTTGCAATGCTTCGTCAAACTGAGAATGAAAGCAGATGTGAATTACAGCTGTAAGCCTGCTTGTCATGCGGCCCAAAAAGATTTGTATTTGTTTTTCACCTAATTATTTGGCCAAATGCATATATCAGGTTTACATTACATGCGTTTCAGAGTTAATGGTGAGGACGTCAGGCTGATGTTGTGGGACACAGCAGGACAGGAGGAGTTTGATGCCATCACCAAGGCCTATTATAGAGGTGAGACCGTTTGGCTGTGAGGTTCGAGGCCTTGAGCAGGTTTGTGACGTGTGTTTGCTCCTGCAGGAGCTCAGGCCTGTGTGCTGGTCTTCTCCACCACTGACAGAGAATCCTTTGAGGCCATCAGCAGCTGGAGGGAGAAAGTGGAGATGGAGGTCGGAGACATTCCCACCGTCCTGGTGCAGAACAAAATCGATCTACTGGACGACACGGTTATCAAAAAGTAAGGCAAAAAGAATCAGGGTTCAGTTGTTTAATGCACAGTATCAGCGACGGTAGAGATTGATGTGGCCGATGACAAACCGTCTGTGTTGTTGCTTCAGTGAGGAGGCTGAAGGTCTCGCTAAGAGGCTGAAGTTGAGATTCTATCGGACGTCAGTAAAAGAAGATCTGAACGTCAACGAGGGTGAGTGATAAAGCATTTCAGTTCACAAAACTGATTTATGCTCAACTGTAAAATAACTCATTTTTAGTGCCGTCAACCGATTAATCGCGATTAATCACATCCAAAATAAAAGTCTTTGTTCACATAATATGTGTGCGTCCTGTGTATATTTATTATGTATCTATAAATACACACACACATGCGTGTATATATTTAAGAAAAATAAGTTGTTTATATTTTAAATATATTTATATATAATATAAATGATATGAATATAAATAAATACATGTAAATAGTTTCGAAATATATACTGTATGTGTGTGTATTTATATATACATAATAAATATACACAGGACGCACACATATTATGTGAACAAAGACTTTTATTTTGGATGCGATTAATCGTTTGACAGCACTACTCATTTTATATATTTTTGATGTTGTAGTTTTTAAGTATCTAGCTGACAAATATCTGCAACGACTCAAGCTACAGTCAGCAGAGGAGACAGAGGTTGTTCACACGTCCAGCAATAAAATAGGTAAGATTTTTTATTTATTTTTTAAGAAATTAATACTTTTATTTCGGAATGGGCATTTTTAGACATTGCATGATCCGATCTGATTTCCATTCTTGGAATCACGATTCCAAAGCGATTCTTGATCTACTATTATCTATCTATTATTATTATTATTAATTTATTTGTTTACCCACGTTACCAAATTTATTTGTTCATTTTTATTAAATGACCATAAGTGGGATACTTTTTAAAATCATTACAAATAATAAATAAATCAAAACAATTGTATGTTAAGAATTATAACCAACTAAATGTAGCTTCAAAACGTACAAGCAGATATAAAGAAATAAAGGGGAACAAAGAAACACATTACAAGCAGTAAACAAAAAGTGCTTTCTGTATCTGAGCGTGCTTTAAGTATCTGAAAGTTTCCAGACAGGCGCTCTTATGGATTTTTCTCCTTTTCTCAGAAATTGTTGCTGATGACATCACAGACACATCTTATATTTATATTTCATTTTATTACAACTCTGCTAGTGTTTCTTTAAATGTAGCTTTAGCATGACTGTTTGAAATTCTCATGACACGTTTTGAAATGGTCTCTTACTGTTTTCAGGCGTTTTCAACACTGCACCCCACCAGACCGCCGGCGATCTGAACAGCCGAGAGGTCATAAACCTGCGCCCAAACAAGCAGAGGACCAAGAAAACAAAAAACCCCTTCGGTAGCTGCAGACTGCTGTAGAATGGCTCTGATTCACAGCATGCCTTGCTGGGAATTGATGAGCTTCATTAGCACTAATTAGAGTTCAAGGAAGGTCCCACGTCCACTCTGAACGTGTGTAATCCAGAGCAGATCTCTCATAATGTGTGTGTGTGTCTGTCTCTCTGTGTGTGTGTGTGTGTGTGTGTGCGTGTGCATCATGCTGCTGGCGTCCTCTGCTGGCTGGCACTGCTTACAACACTAGTGTCTCTGCCATCAGCAGCCTCACACAGTAAATTGGAGCTATTTTTGTACCAGTATTGAAGAGTAAATCTTTTGGACACTGCCCTTCCTCACATTTTAACAATGATTGTGGCTCAAAATTCGAATGAAAAGCGAATATATTTTCTCACAGTCAAATATATGGTGAGTTATTTCAGATATTTACAGGGTAGTTTTCTCTAATGAGATTATTTACAGCAGAAACAATTTCTAACACACCATTTGTGCATTTGGACCGGTCATCGTTTGTGCAATATGTTTGTATCGATGGAGTTGCATCATTTGCTATCACATCATTTGCTATCACAATTGAAACAAAGTTTCTTACATGAACGTCGTCACGAGTTTCAATCCATATGTTCTTATAGGTATTTTTGTATGAAAAATATAGTAAAGTAATCCATAACATTTAACAGAGTGCCAAATGTTTCTAAACTCTACGTACTTGTAAGAAATGTAAATAGTGTTTAGTAAATGGTTGAACAAGTCAGATTTTTAAATATTTCAGATGAACTCAACATCATTGATATGCATCAGCATCCTCTTCTGAAGCTCTGTCATATTCTAAGAGATTGTATTATAGAAACATTCTTTGGGGGTAAAGAGTTTTTTTTTAAAATTCTGTTGGTGACAACTGGCAACGCCGCCAGATATTACAGCGTAAAACTGCACACACTTACCCTCGGTCAGGGAGTAAAACAACTGGCAGTGGGAATTGTCTGGAGAAGCAAACAGGTCTACCTGAGCATCTCCAAAGCGTTCCCAAATCAGCTGAACTGACTGGGGATGGAGTCTCCATTCCCCGGGGCGAGACTGCTGTCGTGAGAGCTCGTCGGCTGCACGATTGAGCCTGCCCAGGATATGAATGGCACAAAGTGACCTCAGAGGGTTCTGACTCCACAAGAGGAGATGGTGAGCGAGTTGCGACATATGACGGGAGCGTAGACCGCCCTGACGGTTGATGTACGCTGACCACAACGTGCTTGTCATTCAGCAGGGCCTTGAAGTGGTGCAGAGCAAGCCGTACTGCTAGCAACTCGAGACATGCCACTGAAGTCGGCAGCATGTCCATTGCACATGGCACCCCAGCCCATGGCAGAGGCATCTGATGACACAACAACATGCCTGGACACTGGTTCTAGGGGAACACCAGCCCGTAGAAATGAGAGGTCCAACCACGGGGTGAAGGTTCGGCGGCAGGCCGGAGTGATGGTCATCTCGGGACTCGGCCGTGAAGCCAGTGCTGAAGTGGTCTCATATGAAGCAACCAGAGCAGTATGACCGCCGCTACGGATGCCATATGCCCCAGGAACCTCTGCAATAGTTTCAGTGGAACCGCTCTCTTGCCTTTGAATTGACTTAGGCAATTCAGCAGTGACTGTGTGCGCTCGCTTGTAAGCTGCGTGAACATGGCGACCAAGTCTATTTCCATACCAAGAAAAGAGATCCTCTGCACAGGGGAGACTTTGCTCTTTTCCCAGTTGACCCGAAGACCCAGACGGGCGAGGTGTCTGAGCACCAGATCCCTGTACTCGAGAGTGAGCTAGAATCAGCCAGTCATCGAGGTAGTTGAGGATACGGACACCTTGCTCCCTGAGAGGAGCCAGAGCACCCTCCGTGACCTTCGTAAAGACGTGGAGAGACAGGGCCAACCCGAATGGGAGAACTTTGTACTGATATGTCTGCCCCTCGAAAGCAAGTGTCGAGGAAGAATGGAGACATGAAAGTACGTGTCCTTCAGGTCGATCGCTGCAAACCAATCCATGGGATGAATGCATTCAAAAATGCGTTTGGGCGTTAAAGGGGTCATATGATGCGATTTCAATTTTTCCTTTCTCTTTGGAGCTTTGTCAAGCTCTTGGTGCATAAAGAAGATCTGTAAAGTTGCAAAGACTTAAGTCTCAAATCCAAAGAGATATTCTTTATAAAAGTTAGCAGTTAACCACGCCTACCTAAAACGGCTCATTCTAACATGCCCCCACATATCTACCTCACTATGTGGGAAGATTTGCATAACGCTGCACAAATGTTCACGCAAAGAAAAAAGGCGTAACACTTATTCTCACTGTAGTATTGTTGCCGCTGCCGCTATACCGTGGAGACACTGTGTGCTTCGTTGTGAAAGCGAAACTACTTTGTTTGGTCTTCCAAAAGAGAACAATATCCGCTTCGTCATGCCTAGAGCTGATCTGTGCTGGTCGCTGAGGGAATACTTCAGCTTAGTGCTGTGGATCGCCGGATTGGCTTTCACCTTGGACGAAGCCTGGGGTCGTCACATGTGGTTGCCGCTCCTTCGTCGAATCCGCCGGGCGCGCCGTTCTCGACCCCGCCGCCTTTGCTCCCTCTAGCCCGGCCTCAGCTCACGCTAAGCCGCGGCTTTTGCTCACGCTAGGCCGCAGTGTTTTTCGTTGTGAAAGCGAAACTACTTTGTTTGGTCTTCCAAAAGAGGACACTTTTGTTGTATTTACAACACTGTTCCAGAACAGTTTAACCCAAATCAAGATGTGTGCAACCCATTTTATGGAGGACTGTTTACTGATCCTGGGAGAGTTGACTACAATGCCGGCAGTTCTGACTCACATTCTGTAAGTACGTTTTCATTTAAAGGATTTGCCACTGATGATTCAAGCACGAGTTTTGGGCAGTGTAGAGTAGCATTTGTTGTTTGTCATTTCTCCGATCACAAATGCAGACAGGGTTTTATGTTTACGCGACGCGATGCAACACAATGTGTAAAAAGACAGTATAAGTCATTATAATCAATAATTATGTCCCCACTGGATGCAACGAATGCCTCGTTTGTAATGGGTTTTCATGTTTTTGTCACGTCGCTCCGGCCTGACACGGCATCAACAGTATGGTGAGGGGCGTAACATTTCCGACACACGCTTGAGGTATTCGGCCAGTCACAACGCACTGGATAGCTGGCCAATCACAGCACACCTCGCTTTTTCAGACCGATGAGCTTTGTAAAAATCAATGCGTTTCAAAAAGGCGGGGCATAGCGGAGAAACAATAATGTACAGTATGTGGAAAATAATGTGTTTTTTTAAACTTTAAACCGCATAAACACATTTCATTACACCAAATACACAAAATAATGTTCTTTTTAGCAGCATCATATGACCCCTTTAACGTCTTAAACGGAAGTCTGTGAAGAGCTCGGTTCAAGGCACACAAGTCTAGGATTGGCCATAACCCACCTGTTTTCTTGGGTACTATGAAGTAGGGGCTGTAGAAGCCGGACTTCATGTCGGCTGGAGGGACCAGCTCTATCGCGCCTTTTGCCAGCAGGCCAACTTGGGATCAGGCTCGGGCAACGTTGGCATCCCAGAGGGAGGCAACGCAGCCGAATCCTCATCTCCCGAGGACTCAGCAAGCCCAATCGGAGGCTCCACAGGCTGCGGTGTTTGTGAGGGGGGTGCAGCCCGAGGAGGCTGTCTCGTCTGGGAAGCCCACACCGTAACCCTCAGGTCACCCTGGCCACCAGCCAAAGTAGCCCTCTTACAGGAAGAGGAACTAGATTGGGATGTGGCAGAGGGGACTCTATACTGTTTAAGGTAATTGAGTCTCGATCTTAACACCGAGATGGTCATGTCCCCACAATGAGAACATGAACCATCCATGAATGCAGCCTCAGCGTGCTGAAAGCCCAGACACATGACATAGCGATCGCAGACCAAGGTACTCAGCGTACTATTGGTTCTATGGTTTGGGGGAAATCATTCACACTGAAAAAATACCATTGCATTGAATAATGTTATGAGATTGTTTTAAATATTTTTTGGAATATACAAAAAAGAAATGATGGTGGAAATTATACTTTTAAACTAAATTAAAACGCCAGTAGGTGCCAGTAGTGAGCGAGTCACTGAGTTGTACATTCATGCGATTTGTTCAAACGGCAGATTCATCAGATGTTTATGCCTGGGCTAATAAAACTTTGACTCAACCGATTCGTTCAGAACAAGGAATCAAGCAGCAATGAATCGGATGGTTTCTGTGAGATGCGCTGTGGTTCCGCCTAAAATGTAAGTGACCTAATATTATTGTATTTGCTTATTGAACTATTAATATACAGTATATATAGCCTATCATGTTTTGCATTTATTAAAATTCAATACAATAAATTTTGAGAAACACGGTGAATTAATCACAAAACATATTCGAAATGCACATTTAGACACTGATACTCCTGTAACGTTACGTGTTGCAAACAAATGTTTGTATGATGAACATTTTTACAGTATTCTGAAACCTTCAGATCCACACTACTCGTATTCAGTTGCAGCGATAATGCATTCACTTTCAACTTTTCAAGTCAAGACTTAATGGGATCTTTCTGGATTTAGTCTGTACCGATCAGACAATCAAAATCTTACCTCGTCTCAATCTGATCTAGGCTTTCCAGTAACTGTCCGGACCGGTCCGCCTTTGAAATCGTTCGGGTGAATTTGCGTTTTGATGCATCGTACATTTTGGCGTTAATTTTCGCTTGTGCCATTATAACTGCTGCTAGTCGTGTTAATGAATGATTTCACGGGTGCAGTGACCTACAGGGCAAACCGGAGCAGACCACCCGAGCAATAATATAGCGATGTTCGGTCCGCCAGTGAATCATTCACTTTCAGTCGAATCGATTCGCACAGCGTTTTCAAACCGCCGAACTGTGTGACTATAAAGTGGGTGACATGTTGAGCTGTAAACATTCAAGCACAATCCTTCTAAAGCATTACACGCAGTATTTGCCGAATCCTTAGTTTGTCATTTTAAAGTGATGAGATAGTATACAGCAGTATATGGTTAAATGTAATGATTTATTCAATTTATTTAATATCAACTAAATATTTATACAACAACTCTTTATACAATATCGCATGACCCACGTAGACAACTTTGTGTTGACTCAAAAGATTCAATGAATGGAAGCTGTTCTCTGAAATGAATCATCCAAAACAGCCAATTCGTATCGACCACGTAGTGCAGGTAGAGGTCCCGCTCCCTCAAGGTTCTATAGGGGTTATGCGCAACAGACTTCCGTATTCTGTTAACTGGGTCTCGTCGCTTCCGGTTCAAGCGTTTTGCATATGCTTAGTTAAATATGAAGCAGTTTTACTCAAGATGCCTTCAAAGTAGATACCAATGATGATCATAACCAGTGTCCATCACATATGCGGACTGATATCTAAAAGTTTTTTTTATTTTTATTCTTTTCACATTTAGATATAAAAATTGAATAAAACGTCAACAATAAAAACAGATAGCTAGTTTGACTGATCATATTAAAAGTCCATAGATATCGGTATTATTTAATACGGCTGTTAACACGTTCTCCGACAAGCGGAAACAATGAGACCTGTTTTCCGGGTTTGGTCAGGTGATGTTCGACATATACCCTATTCCGCACCCACCCGCTCCCGCTGTATATTCACTCTTTGTTCACCCGCTGTCCGCTTAGAATACTTTTCTTCCCGGACCGTTCCTGCTAAATTTAGATCTGGTTTCCAGAATCTCACATTTAAATTTCCGCTACTGAAAGAGAGAGATATGCTGACAAATAAAAGTGTAGTCTGCACACAATTGTGTTATTTTATCCGTCTTGTCAAGAGTCTTACATGTATTGACTTTGACTTGAATTTATATGAATTATCTTAAGACACAAAATTTGTTTAATATTTTATGCAACACAGGAAAAGTGTCAGAGACAATAAAAATGTTGTACAAAAATTGTATTTCTCATTTTTATTCGTCTTGTCAGGATACAATTCGTTTAACGTTGACAACATTTTATCAGTAGCCTACAGAACATTCTCAAAACAACCTAAAAGGAGTTAAAAAGGGCTTGATAAAAAAAAGAAAGAAAAAAAAGTGATTCCAAATGGTACCATAAAATAACCTGGTATCTGCAGGATTTTAAAAAAAAATCTAATTTAAGACCTTTTTAAGACCTGCACTTCACATTTCAGCCTTTAAACTAATTTTAAGAAAAGGGATGAGTCAAAAGTATCAATTATTATATTAATTTAAACAATTATCATCAATTAATTATATTAAATAACATATAAATATATCTTAGTGTCTTAATTGTTTAGATTTTTATAATGCATTAGCTTTTTGTCGATCCACTGGTTCACATTTAAAAATGTAGCAAAAATAGCAGAAGGGCTTATTGAAAAAGCAGATTCGTTCTCTGCCAGCAGGTGTCGCTTTCGGAACTGCAGAAATATAGTGGTTTCCCCAGTAACCGCAGTACACTGACATGCAGAGCTCAAGTTTCTTCAGTGAAATCATAGCCTTTTGAAGTTTAATAGTCATATTAATCCATATAGCAATTCTTGTCTTTCCGTCCCCAAAGACCTCTTATAATTGAGACTTTTTTTAATGAATGTTTACATTAGAGTGCATGTCCTGCTACGGCTGAAATTAATAGGGGAGCAGCTGGAAACTACCGACCTCTCCTGGTTGGAGATAGTATTAACATCATAAACTGAAAGCAATCTTTATGTGACTTGCTTTTCAAATGTTTTAAAATTGATCATCCGAGTCCAATATGATCCAGCGAGCTGTACTAAAAGACACTGCGGGCCGCTGGTTGCCCATCCCTGATCTAAATGCAAAAATGTTCACAATTGTTTGAATAAAACAGACTACTGGGGGAAAAAATCTGAATATTCCTCTTGTGACTATTTTAACAAAAGCAACAATAATATAATAATTGTAATTATATATATATATAGGTCAGTGGCCCTTGGCTTGGTATTGTTGGCAGAATTCGGCCCTCGGCCAAAACTAATTGAGGATCCCTGTTCTAGCGGTTTCCAGGGGTCTTGAGTAACATCTCTAAACATGGGCTGGGACTTCTCTTGGTAATACACTCCTTCAGACAAGAGGAGGAGTTCACCTCGGAGATTCAAACAAAGGAGAGTGGGATTTCATTTCTAGGGTCAAGGGCCAAGAAGACATCACAGAAAAGACAATAACCAGAACACAGTGAGATTTCTCAGACAGGGACAGGCAAGATATGGTTTATTTCCTTTATTTAAACTTAAGAAAAACGTGCTTAATCACTACAGTGCATGAACAACACGGGAAAACAAACACTCAAACTGTCTCTTCCCTTATCAAAATTCCTGTAAGCTTCTTTTCAAGGCTTCTTCCATCTCTGCAAAATGAGAATGCAAAAATATTTTTTAAAAAAAGGAAGCTTTTTTTTTTTTTTTAAAAACCTCATTTATAATAAATGGAAAGATCAAACAAACAGACAAACTGTTGCATGATTTGTGGGTCTTTCAGCCAGTGATTACTCAAACTAATGTGATGCTGCAGTGACAACATTCAACATCTGTGCGCTTACACCCAAACCTTAAAACAAAACCCAGCACCATACATGTGCTTATGAAACCTGCCTAAAATCCCATCTATTACAAGAAATATCACACTAAGCCAAAGCTCCATAAAATGAAACATACCCACAATGATAATTCTGTTCATGCATGCAAAGCTGGCAAAATAAACATCGGATTAATGAATGAACAGCATACTCTCTCAATGAGCTCTGACATACTATAAAAACACATTTCAGACTCTACACTGCTCAGAAATAACAGAAATATAAGTTTTTAGTAGCAGTATTACATAAATATGTCAAGATTAACTTATTACCAATATCCAGCTCTTTTGATTTCTTGACCTCCTCTGCACTCAAAGCCAAAGCCAGTTTCATGTCCTGATCAAATGCACCTAAGGAGAAATATAAACTGTTAAAGGTGCTGTATGTAGGATTGACAAAGAGTGGTTGAACTAGGTATTGCAGTCCAAATTAAAAATATTGGAGAGGGTTTTTTTCACCCGGCCCCTCCTCCTCCGACTTGACGCACAGGTTGCCAGATTGAGGACACCAAAAGGAACAAGCACACTTGACGATGAATGAAATGAAACAAGCTGTTTTCTCCACCAACTGGCAACCCAGGGTCCCGAAATACAATTGGGTGAACTGGCAGTGGGCGGGTTTCACAAACCAAAACAGAGACCGACATTCCGGCCCGGAACGCCCATTTTCAAAGGAGAATAACTGACTGTAGCATTGTTTTTCAGATAAACAAGTATGTTAACTTAGCATGTTTCTTAAATATCTGCAAACATATTATGGTATTTTTATGCTTTAGTAGAGTCAAAAACTTACATACAGCACCTTGATGACCTAAATGTTATATTTCCATGAACTTTGTTGATTTGCTGATATTTAGTTGAATCATCACAGTACTAAATTGAAACATAACATTGCAAATCTAAACTGACTAAAGTTCCACTTCTAGACAAAATAAATAAAAAACAGTGGAAAGTGAAAACCTACCATCATCTTTTTTAACATCAAGAATACTTGAGGTAATGGCATTCTTTACATCTTGAAACTTCTCCGCTGAAAAAAACAAACAAAAAAAAAGTAATACAATTTTTGTATAATCATATTATATACGAGACTAATTGAGACATACACACACACATATATATGATACTTATTACGCAAAGGCCAAGGAAAGTCATGAAAGCTATGAAATACCATAAAAGAAAGTATGGGAATTATAAAACATATGAGAAACATGATATTATACAGACTGGTAGAGTACATGCTCGTTTACTGCTGGAATTATTGATCTATAATTCAGCTGGAGTAATCATTAAGAGGGAAAACAAGCCTGTAACTCGATATCCATCCACATACTAAATGGAAACCTCACCATTACTCTGAGGGAAGATCTCCTTGGCATTTATTATGCTGCTGGTGGCGGCCGGTTTCTCATCTGCGCTGTTGGGTCGGGAAGAAGCGCAAGGTTCTGACTGGCAGTGATGCTTGTGGTAGTGTGAATGGACACTGGGTATATCTTTGTGGCTCTGTGAGCAAACAGTGCACAGAACATCAAAACCTTTCTCATTGCCCTGGGTCGTGTGTGTCAGGAGGATGTGCGTCTTCATCTCGGCATAGGTGGCCGTGTTTTTGTCGCACTGGCGACAGCAGTAACTGCATTTATTTTCGGTGGCCAACTGTTTCATGCACTTTGTGAATATAGGTTTCCTTTCCTCCCTGGATTTCTCAGAGCCCATGCAAGGACAAAGTTGCTCAGGGCTTGTACTTGCTATAGGACTCTCAACGGTGTTTTCCATGGATGCTTGGGAAACATTCGGAGCCGCTTGCAAGCAGTAGTAATCTTGGCTGTGCAGACTGTTGTAGTGCTCCAGAAACTCTGCCTCGGTGTCGTACAGCATGCTATCACACAGCCCGCAGAAGTAGCGCAGGACTATGTCGTCACCATGCTCATTGGCGCAATGCCTCCGCAGGGTGGAGTCCTTGAAAAACTTCTGTGGACAGTGGCCACAAGCGAACCTCTGGAAACTGTGGCTGCTCAAATCACTGCAGTGTTTCCGCACCACTGCCTCAGAGTCGAAGAGGTCTTCACACATCCGACAAAGCCAAGACTCGGCTTTGGGAGGCGGGACACAAGAGGAACTGTCCGGCCTGGTCATTTCGGTTTCCGCACTGGTGGACGGTTTGGGGGACATACTGGACAAGACGCAGTGGTCTGCTGCGTCTTCTCTTTCCTGGTAGTAGCTGTGCCCTCTGTGGCTTACACCAACATGGGCCATCATGTCTTCCATCCTTGGCATTTCCACCTTGCACTGACTGCAGTGGAAAAGGAAGTTGGACAAATGAGCACCACCGTGGAACCGGCTCATGTGCAAGCGCGTTATGGACAATTCGCCCATTAGCTTGCCACAGACCGCACATTTGTGAAAGATCTGATTGGCAGCTTGGAGGTGCTTCCTTGCTTGATCCTCCTCTGTGAAGCGTAGGCCGCACTCACAGAACCAGGCGAGCTGTGACCATTTTCTTGATTCGACTTGGGAATCTAAGCTGACCAGTGTTTTTCTCTTAGCTGAAGGCCGGTCTGAAACGCTCCCACATGCCGTGGCCTTCTGAGCTCTTTGGATTTCACAGTAGTTGCTGTAGTACAGAAGGGCCCGGTCCATGCTGCTCACCCTCTTCACCTCATGTTTCAGGAGCTCTTTGTGCTCCTCCATCTGACCCAAGCTAAAAAAAGGTTTGGGGCATGAGGAGCAACGACCCATGACTGCCATTGTCCTCATGATGTCAGCCATGCTTTGATCAGCAGTGACAATAGCACAGCCATTATTGCAGTGCACACTGGGAAACAAAACAAAAGCATATAATATTTAGTGCACAATAAAAAAAAAATATGTTCGTCCACATTTTTATGCACATTTTTGAATATCTCATTAAAAAAAGCACTGGATGTAAATGCCAAGATGTGCGTAAAATCTTAAAATACGCATTAAAAACCTATGCACTCAACTGAGCTGGATCATTTTTTTTTATCCAGTGAGAAAACATGCGCATAAACTATGATGAAACGCATTTACTGAAGTTGTTCCTCGATGCTCAACCAAACTCATTCGACTTTGCCTCAACAGATCATGTGAATGGATAAAAGGACGAACCAGCGGACCGATCTCATTGCACACAATCTCAATCATTACCTTAGCGAAAGTCCGTCATCAAAATGAACATCATCCAGCTCCAAATGCAAGAAGACATGACAGCTTATTGCTTTCATCTGCACGCTCTGAGGTGAGAGTAATTTATGATGTATGAAGAAAGAGCCACATGCTTCCCCAGTTGCAGTAACTTTGATTTTTATTATTAAAACTTTGCTTAAGTTTCCCAGGAAGTGACAATTTTGTTCTCTAGAGCACATGAGATGGAAATGGTGCTTTATTCGCAAAGATTTTATACGATATTCTAATTTTCCTCATATGTTAAATTTGCAGCTTTGGATGGAAACATAGCTACTGTTGCATGTTAAAGGAACTATATGGACGGGAGTGAACACAGTGTACAAAATACTAAGAAATTGCATTGTGGGATATTCTTCACAGTCGGTTCTGTTGTATAGAGCTTATTTTGGAATAGAATAAGTCATCCTGGAAACATGCATACAAATGTGCATACTGGGCACAGTACACTTACTACTGAAATAGCAAGAGAAGGGCCAGTGTTGCCACCTTGTGCAACAACTGATTAGTGCTAAACAAATATAGTGCACATGTGTGACCTACGTGTACAAAATACAGGTCAAGATTTTTTGCAATTTTAAATTTTGTGAAAAATCTACTTTTTTTGAACTCGTCTTAGAAAGTCAGAGTTTGTCTGACTTTCACCAAAATTGGCTCAGATCATCTTCAGACAATTCTGGCAAAAAGTAATCAAAATATTTCCGATAGGCCAAACCGTTCTTGTAAAGCAAGTTAACAAATTTGAAGTTTGTGCAAAAATGGACCTGAGGCTATATCTCTGCTACACTTTAGCAGATTCTGACCAAATTTGGTATGTATTATAACATGCATGACCTGGGGGCACATGAGTAGTTTCGGCACAGCGCCACCTACTGGACAAAATATATAATAAAAAAAAGTAATTCTGCTAATAACTTCTGACCAGTGTGGCCAAGAATCATAAGATTGGTCTTGTTAGATTTGGAACAACATACCGAATCTAACATTACTTAATTTTAATTTGTTTGTCTTTTTGGGCATTGGGCATTTTGAGTTTAGTAGTAAAATGCTGCATCAACAAATCTTTAACAGGGTTCTCCAACACTACTCCTGCAGAGCTACTATACTGCAGAGTTCAGCTTCAACTCTAATCAAACACACCTGAACCAGCTAATCTAGGTGTTCAAGGCTACTAAATTACAGATAGGTGTGTTGAAGCAGAGTTGGAACTTAATGCTGGGTACACGCTAATGCCCGGTTCAGACTACACGATTTTAGCCCGATTTTGCCACGATTAGCTTGACGTAGGGTGTCGTTGGGATTCGTAAACGACAATGAGCGTCGGGACGCTAGATTCCATCATTTCAGCATGTGTAGTGTGTCATAGTGGACCGCGATGCTTCACGACACAGAAAGACTAGCATGTTTAATGTTTTTTCCGTCGTCCACGACGAGTTCTGTCACATTGGTGACGTTGACCAATAGCAGCACAGAAGCTCTTTCAGACACAGGTTTCAAACATGACGAAACGAAAGAGAGATGATGGTGCTGCTAGGTGGAATTATGAGATGGAGGAAAGGTTCGTGGAGCTGTGGCAATAGTACTCCTGCCTGTATGATGTGTTATCGAGGGACTACCACAACAGAACAGAGAAAGAAAAATGCTGGCGAACTATAGCGGAAGCGCTTCAGCTATGTTTACACTCTTGTTTTCGGAAGTCAGTCGCTAGTTCTGCCTTCTCGATGACATCACGCGCGTCATTAAAGACAAATTTAAGGGGGTCTGAATACTTTCTGTACCCACTGTATATATATTATATCTATATATATATATATATAGAGAGAGAGAGAGAGAGAGCTTACACATACTGGTGGATTAACCATTACAGAAACATAATACAAAAACACGAAATTTGTCACTAAGAGCAACTCTTTGCACTAAGAATTTTCATGAATACGGGCCCTGGTCTTTACAGAGTAATTAAAAGCAGCTCCTCAGCTCATCATTTTACCTTTGTTGCGCCTTAATTGCTGCTTGCAGCTACATTTTAGAACTGTTTCTGCTTGTAAATGGTATTTGATCTGTGCATATTTCTCTCCTGATATTACTTTTTCACAGAAGAAAGCATTATAGATATAGGACTCTTTGGTGAGCAAGTGATGTAATGCTACATTTCTCTGAATCTTTTTTTGATGAAGAAACAAACTCATCTATTTTGGATAACCTAAGGGTAAGTACATTTTCAGGAAATTTTCATTTTTGGGGTGAACTACTCCTTTAACAATTTGAGCGGCAATGCATTCAGACTTAGATGTTTTCAAGTATGACAACAACAACTGGCCCATTTAATTGTAAGGGCCAGAGAGGGCATTAAAACCCAGCTCTTTACTCATCTCACTCGCACAAAACACAGCTCTGTACTTCTCAAACTGCATCAAAACACATGTAAACAAATGCATATTAGCCCTCAACATTATGAGAGAACAAGAGGGCATAGACTTTTTCACTGGAGGAAGTGTTATGGATATTGGACTCATATTTTGTCCAGAAGCGACAGATTAACGTTAAAACACCCAAATTATGGATTTGTTTTTTTACAAACACGCAGCTTTCGGTTTCTTAAGACATTAACTGATGGACTGGAGTGGTGTGGATTACTTGTGATGTTTTTATCAGCTGTTTGGACTCTTGACGGCACCCATTATTGGGGAGCAAGTGATGCAATGCTACATTTGTCCAAATGTGTTCCCATGAAGATACAGTGTCTTAGTCTTGAGTGATGGTACGTGCAACTATGCATTTTTTTTTTTATTCTATAAGGATTGAGAAAAGTCAAACCTTAAAAGCTTTGCACTTTTCACGCCTCTCCAGTTTTTCCACAGCAACCTGACGTGCCAGTCTGTCCAGTGTGGACATTGCATGAGCCCTCTGCTTGTCAACCTGCTCCTCAATCTGAGTATTGCATTTAAAGCACATCAGGGACAAAACAAGAACATTTAAACACAAAAATCTGATGCCATTTATGCATGTAAAAACAAATACATATAATATACAATGAATAGTTTGCCCACAAATTATATATATATATATATATATAATTTTTTTCATCCGTGAAAGAATATATTAGAAGATTGCCAGAGCTTCTTTTTTTTTTTAAATGCAATGAAGAAAGATGGTAATTGACTTGCATCCACATTTACACCTTGCAGACATCGGTCACACAACAAGGCGTTTCTATGGGGTGGGGGGAGGTGTGCCTTATGGGGGGAGGAGCAGGAGAGTGAGAACTGGTTTGTTGTTTCTGACACCCTTTCTTCCCTTTTGTCCTTCTCATCTGCCTCCCAATAAACAATACAATATCAGAAAAGGTGTCTATAAGAGCCGTGCACTATAAGTTATTCACTATTAAATGAGCCAAGTTTGACTGATGCCAAATATCATTTGATCTTCCATGGATTATGATGCAATTGAAATGGAAATGTAAGACCACCACCATTTACATGGCATTTCTGCATCTGGTAGATGCTTTAAAAGGGTCATATGATGTTGCTAAAAAGAACATTATTTTGTGTATTTGGTGTAATGAAATGTGTTTATACGGTTTAAGGTAAAAAAACACATTATTTTCCACATACTGTACATTATTGTTTCTCCTCTATGCCCCGCCTTTCTGAAACGCGTCGATGTTTACAAAGCTCATCGTTCTGAAAAGCGAGGTGTGCTGTGATTGGCCAGTTATCCAGTGTGTTGTGATTGGCCGAATACCTCAAGCGTGTGACGGAAATGTTACGCCCCTCACCATACTGTGATGCTGTGTCCGGCCGGAGCGATGATTCAAAACATTAAAACCCATTATAAACGAGGCATTTGTTGCATCCAGTGGAGACATAATTACGGATTATACTTATTATACAATTACTGACTTGTACTGTCTTTTTATGCATTGCATCACGCCGCGGAAACATAAAACCATGTCTGCATTTGTGATCGGAGAAATGACAAACAGGTGCTACTCTACACTGCCCAAATAGTCGTGTCCTCTTTTGGAAGACCAAACAAAGTAGTTTCGCTTTCACAACGAAACACACAGCGCCTTCACAGCAACAATAATACAGCGAGAATAAAAGTTACGCCTTCTTTCTTTGCGTGAACATTTAGGCGGCGTTATGCAAATCTTCCCACAGAGTGAGGTAGACATGTGGGGGCGTGTTAGAACGAGGCGTTTTAGGTAGGCGTGGCTGACTCTTAACTTTTATAAAGAATATCTCTTTGGATTTGAGACTTTAGTCTTTGCAACTTTACAGATCTTCTTTATGCACCAAGAGCTTGTAACACTCCAAAGAGAAAGGGAAAATTTAAATCGCATCATATGACCCCTTTAATGCAAAGCCACTTACAATGCATTTAGGATATATATGCAATCCCTGAGAATTGAACTCATGGTCTCGGAGCTGTTAGGATCACTACAGTTGCAAAAACACCAGAAAATGATTACTAAAGTTTCAGCCTGTTCCCCACATAAAGCTCCCACAGGGCTTCAGCAAACATTTCTGTTGTTAGGCTGTATGGATCCTGATGGAAAAGAGCAGCTTGGACATTCTGCCAAACATCTTCTTTTGCATTACACAAAACAAAGGTTACAGGTTTGGAAAAACATGATTGAGAGTAAATGATGACAGAATGACCTACACTGTTCATTTTTATACTCTAGACAGTGTTTGAGGAAACTCACGGTGTGTGCAGCAGACATGCCGCCCTCATCCTCTCCATCACTCAGCAGGTCAATGCATTCCAACACCGGTCTGAGAGAACCCTCCTAAAACACCAGGTTTTAATGAGAATTATGGCTCAAATCCAGCTCCCAAGGGTGAAGACCTAGATCCAAACAACTGTCCTAATAACTCAAATTAGAAATCAAGGCGGTGACATTTTAGGCACACTTACAGACACAAACTCCACCTCATCCTCAGTGACTGTAGAAGCAGACATCACATCTGTCCTCTGTGGAGCATCACATTCATCAGTTAATTAAGAGAGATCAGTATGACATGAAGTATTGCATGCAAAAACGATCTTAGAACTAACTGCACGAGCTTTAACTTTTTAACTAGCATTTAAATGTTATTTGACTTCACTGAATGTGGAGAGTGGTCGCATTTTACAGGAAATCAAAGGTTATCAATCTTGTAAACAGCTTGCATGAATGTCAAACTACTCGTCGACAGCAAAATGGGAAAGTCACACCAAACAAACTGTCTTGAAAGACGTTCTGCAACGATAACGCTTGCAAACAATTCACCGTCATGACAAAATCGCAAAATCTAAAGCTACTTCGAGTAAAAGTTAGCAAAGCATTACCCAAACTGAGCACGCAGAGAAGCCAGCATCAGATCTAGCATCACAGGAAGTGAGCGCGTCAAAATAAAAGTCCTCCAACCAACCACGTGTCAATACTTTTACTTTTACTATTATTTAGATAATAATAATAACGAAACTACTGTGTAATTATTATTTTTTTCTACAAAATACTACAATTACCTAGATTTTTAAAAATCGGAAAATCAATTGACTCATGCAGGACTCATTCTTAAATTATTAGACAATTATTCATACTGCATACTGTGTAGGCTATAAGCAATTTTAATTTTTAAAAAAACTAGTATTCATTTAATTGTCATAGCTGGGTAATCTGGATTAGGTAATCAGATTCCAAAAATGTGATTAAATCACATTTTAAAATACTTGTAATCAGACGAAAGCTACTTTTTTTATTGATTACATGATTACATATTGCCATTTCAAATTGACCTTTCTCTTTGGAGTGTTACAGGCTGTTCGTGAATAGATACAATCCCTAAAGTTGCAAAGATTTAAGTCTCAAATCCAAAGAGATATTCTTTATAGTTAAGTTAAGACTTCCACGCTCTCCTAAAACGGCTCGTTCTAACACGCCCCCACATGTCTACCTCACTATGTGGGAAGATTTGCATAACGCCGCCCAAATGTTCACGCAAAGAAGACATAACTTTTATTCTCGCTGTAGAATTGTTGTTGCCGCCGCGATGTCGTGAAGACGCTGTGTGTTTCGTTGTGAAAGCGAAATTACTTTGTTTGGTCTTCCAAAAGAGGACGATATCCGCTTCGTCATGCCTGGAGCTGATCCGTGCTGGTCGCTGAGGAAATACTACAACTTAGCGCTGTTAATCGGCTTTCACCGTGGACCAGTCCAGCCCGGGGTCATCACATGTGGTTGCCGCAGGCCCACCGGACGCTCCTTCATCGAATCCGCTGGCCGCGCCGTTCTCAAGCCCTCCGGCCGCCGCTCACTCTAGGCCACCGTGTGTGACGCTGTTTCGTTGTGAAAGCGAAACTGCATAAACACATTTCATTACACCAAATACACAAAATAATGTTCTTTTTAGCAACATCATATGACCGCTTTAATTTAATAACAATAAATTATTAATAATAAACGAGCCGCAGTTTGGGAAACCTCAATGTAATGTAATGTTTAATGCACTTCATTATGTTAATAACAAGAAATGTAATATATTTTATTTTTCTTAGCATTTTTATATCAATATGGTACAAGCTTATCCTATTTAAATCAATATGATAAACGAGTTAGGTCAAAAGTAATCTAAAAGTAATCAAAAAGTAATCTGATTATATTACCTAAAATGTGTAATGTAATGGATTACGGTACTAACTACAATTTTGCCATGTAATTTGGAATCAGTAACAGACTACAATTTGTAATCTACCCAGCTCTGTTAATACAATTTATGATTATCAAGACACCACATGCAATTTTACACACATAAAAAAAAACTGTATACTTGTTTTAAAACTAAAAGTATTAACCTAAGTACTATTATATTAATCAAGGCCAAACATATACAAGTATACTTTATACAAGCATCCCTATAAGTAAAACCCTTTAGGGCATTCCCAGAAATGTTTGCTTACATTTCGTTTTATAGTTAGCTTATATTTAGTATCAGTATTATCAAATATGTTTACTGGATTTATTTATTTAGCATTTGCTATGCTACACTCTAAAAAATGCTGGGTTAAATACAACCCAGTGCTGGGTAAAATAGGGACAAACCCAGCAATTGGGCTGTTTTGACCCAGCGGTTGGGTTACTACTCAGAAGGTTGGGTTAAACATTTAACCCAACCGCTGGACCAAAACAGCCCAATTGCTGGGTTTGTCCCTATTTTACCCAGCACTGGGCTGTATTCAACCCAGCATTTTTTAGAGTGTATGTTTACACTGTTATTTTAGTTTCATTTGTGTTAGGGTAATGCTCCAGTGTAGACTTGATCAGATTATAATGGCTGACAAAGCTTAACTGTTATAAAACTGTATGCAAAATATACAGTTACAAAATGCTATGCTATGCTCACGGTATTTCTTACAGTAACGTTCTGGCATATCGTTATATATTGACATGGCACGTTAGCTGTAAACAACCCATCTATATGGAAATTCGTCCCAGAAAGGAATGTAGGCCTTAATTAAGTCCACGTGGAGCGCGTAATATAGAGGCTTTATAAAAGAGTTCCCACTAAAGCCATATTTTGGTCATGGCATCAAACACATCACGTGGACATTTCCAAACGCATGTAAAAAAGCGCAGCCCGAGGCGCTACAGATCCGCTTTGCTGAGCTCAGATGAGATGCTGCTGATGCTGCGCTGCCCTGCGTGAGCTCCTGCTGAGTCATGGCTTGTGGTGGGCCATTACTGAAGTACAGACACCATGAGATAGACTATATGACAAGTGAGGCATTACAGCATGAAGTAGCCGCTCACAGTAGCCTATTTCCAGAAGGAGAGGAAGCAGACGTGTAGGAGTGGCAATGATTGCTGCGGCTTTTTTGGTCTTATTGAGACCCTTAAGTATCCAGTATGTATTATTGCTATTATTGCTTTTGGTAGGAACTGTCGCCACGATCCTGTTTCTCAGTTCCTGGCATCGGAAGCTCCGCGCTGAGAAAATTCCCATCAAATCTGTGCTCACAAGGCGTTCGAGGAGTCGTGGTGAGTAGCTCGAGACGGACGCGTCGCATCACGTCCACCCTATGCATGTGTTTCTGTAGGATGTCATCTATGCATGTGTTTCTGTAGGATGTCATCTATGCATGTGTTTCTGTAGGATGTCATCTATGCATGTGTTTCTGTAGGATGTCATTGCGATAGCACGCATGCTGCATGTACAACGACAGATTTAGTAGACATTTTCATTCCTTGTCTTCGTGTGGGTTAAAAACGACACGGTCATCAAAGCGCGTGGGTGCCGTCGTTTTTCATCGTCTGTTCTCGTTGTGTGTTTAATAAAGTGTTCTGTATTTAAGTTCTTTGAAGAGCATCTCTAAGACGCAATATGACTGAATGCATGTGGGGTTTGTTTCAATCATTCCCATTTGTTCTAGAAGCTGGTTTCCGGACGCATCATTTTCGCTCTGAGGTAAAAGCCCTTTCTCTTGCTCTTATTTATAGGTACTCTCATCTTGGTGAAGAAATAGTATCCTAAGCAACTGCGTGAAATGCGCATTGCGCATGTGTGCCTGATAAATAATTCAGAAAAGGCTACTATTACATAAATATTGCATGCTACCTAGAGGTGGCGAATCTGTCTATTCTAGGATAGGGACAGTTGCAGTCATTTGTAGCACTTGACAGTTCTTGCTCTGCGATGACGTTGTGCTCGTTGTCGGGCAGGTATGTCGTCACAGTCCCCGTCATGCGAGGAGAAGCGCACGCGCGCGTGTTTCTGAAGAGAAGCCGCTCGTTGAGAGCGAGCCGGACTCGAGCGCAGCCCTGAGGAAGCGCAGAGTGAAGAAGAGAGTCCAGCCCGAGTTTTATCACTCCGTGCAGCTCACGCCAACACGCAAACCAGTAGGTACATCCCGATCTACAAGGCATTTCCTCGCAGTCCACTCTTAAATATGAAGCTTCTTTAGTGGTTCCATAAAGAGTTCCGTTAGAACCTTTCAATGCACAAAAGGTTCTCTATAGTGGAAAAGGGTTCTTGAAATGTTTAGAGCAGGGCTGCCCAAACTCGGTCCAAACTCTTGTCCTGCAGGGTTTAGCTCCAACTTGCCTCAACACACCTGCCTTTAAGTTTCTAGTATGCCTATAAGAGCTTGATTTGCTGCTTCAGGTGTGTTTAATTGGGGTTGGAGCTCAACTCTGCAGGACACCGGCCCTCCAGGACCGAGTTTGGACACCCCTGGTTTAGAGCATTCTTCACAGTAAGAAAAAACAACGGTTCTTCTAAGAACCATTCACTGAAAGGTTCTTTGGGGAACTGCATTGCTATGAAATCCCACCTTTAAGAGTGTATGTGTACCTTGACCTGTAGCTATAGACCACTAACTTATTACAGCGCTAATGCTAAAGATATCTGAGTTAAAGAGGCGAAGGTATAAGCTAGTCAACATTAAATAAAAATCAATCTTATTAATTTTCTTTTAAAATTTGTTTTTATTATGTATGATTCATCAACATGTTTATCGTGTTGGGGTGAAGTCGTGGCCTAATGGTTGGAGAGTCGGACTCACAACAACTTTTACCCCCCCCCCCGCCACAATCTTTCATCAAAATATCTGGCTGAGCCTCTGCACCATATCCGCAACAATTTTCATTTTTGGTTGCCCTTTCAAAGCTATTTTTTCAATCCCTCCCTCCAATCACTTATAGACCCCTTTTCACCATCCAAAAATGACAGAAAACCAATATTAAACTGCATTTCATTTGCTCACAAATACATGACATTCCAGAAGTGGGCTGGGGTTTCATATTGATTTTAAGTCGCTAAGTCCGTTTGTGTTTCTCTGTCAGTCATTGATAAACTCCTCACTGTTTGAGCAACAGTTGCAATGGTTACTCAAATGGTACTTTTAATATTTAAAACCTGCGAACTCGAAAGTGCATCTTATGTTCAGTCTTATTGATGGCGATTCTCCATTCGAACCAAGATATCTTTTCAAATATGGAGTCTTTTTCCTGTTTTAACGTGTCAAATTATAAAGACCATTTTTGTATTGTCAGTCATGTCTCATTTGTGCCACCATAAAAATTTTACCAAAAAATAAATAAAATCAATGTACACTAACTTGAAGTTATAATATCAGAGTTGACATCATTATTAAAATCTAGATTGTCTGCTTTTCCTTTAAGTACTGACACATAATGTTTAGGATATATAGCAGATTTGAAACCACTCTGTAATTTCATATATGTGGAAATTATAGGAACATAATGCAGAAAAACACTTAATTGATTCAAGAAACATGAGAGCTGTTAGCTTTAGACCTACAGGACTCGGCTCTTTGTAAGTGATATTTATACTCAGAATAACAGGATGTGGATGAGAGTGATTTTGCATACGTGGGTTCGGCATGCTACTCATTTCATCTTCCTTCCTTCGGAATTATTGCTTGTAAATTTCACAAATCACAAAGAAACGGCACGTAACACATTGAATTAAATGTGAAAGACCGAAACCGTATTTTCTTTTAAAACAATAGTAATCTTTGTTTTATTTACAACTTTGAAAAATGTCCAAAAAGTTGTAAATTATGAAACATTTTTTAAAATGTAATCCTGGAAATATACAGAACGTGTTAGCATTTAGAAAATATTTCAAGTATGATGTAAAATTTCTAGCTTTCTTCGTGTACATCAGATGTTCTTTGAAACAAATTTAAATCATGCTGGAGAAGATGATGCTCAGGTTTTGCTCTACTTCTGAAGTTCATGCCAGCTCTAGTCTCTAGTTCTCAAAGAGAAGCATATCCACTAGTGGTGTCAGACTTATGCACACCGAAGTCATACATAATTTGCTTTTGAGTATATTAAATCTTTGTAATGTCCTACAACCTGCCACAACTCGACTGCAGTTCATGGTGATTATTGTAAAACCCTGATAGTAGGTTTGCTCAGATTCAGTGTGTTATCTAAATATCACATACTTGCTGAACAATCACATACTGTACATAATGTGTATTACACACACACACACACATATAAATGTAATGAAAGTAGTCAATTAATTTACCCTGATGAAAGGCACAAACCTTATATGAAAATTAGACACTGTGCTTTTTTTAATGGAATCCAGAACATTGTAGTATGTGTCAGACTCTGTTCCATGTGTTGTGTGTGTGTCCTGCTCTCCATGTGCCATCCCATGCCCTTATTTGATTAGGTTCCTGTTCCTCCCCTGATTAGTTCCTCCTGTGTGCATTTAAAGTGTTCCCAGTCCCTACACTAGTGGTGTCAGACTTATGCACACCGAAGTCATACATAATTTGCTTTTGAGTATATTAAATCTTTGTAATGTCCTACAACCTGCCACAACTCGACTGCAGTTCATGGTGATTATTGTAAAACCCTGATAGTAGGTTTGCTCAGATTCAGTGTGTTATCTAAATATCACATACTTGCTGAACAATCACATACTGTACATAATGTGTATTACACACACACACACACATATAAATGTAATGAAAGTAGTCAATTAATTTACCCTGATGAAAGGCACAAACCTTATATGAAAATTAGACACTGTGCTTTTTTTAATGGAATCCAGAACATTGTAGTATGTGTCAGACTCTGTTCCATGTGTTGTGTGTGTGTCCTGCTCCCCATGTGCCATCCCATGCCCTTATTTGATTAGGTTCCTGTTCCTCCCCTGATTAGTTCCTCCTGTGTGTATTTAAAGTGTTCCCAGTCCCTACTTCCCTGTCCGCTGTTAAAGGTCTTCTTGTGTTTGTCTCCCTTGGTTCCTTGGTGCAAATAAAGTCTTGGTAAGCCTTCTTCAGCGTCTTCTCGTCCCTCGTGTGTGTGTGCGCGCGCACTGTGACAGAACAGCGGACCGAACTGTAAGCGGCATCCCTTCCCCGTGTTTGATTTCCGTGTTTTGAAAGTTTTATTTTGCCTTTTTTCCCGTGCACTCCTCCACGTCCCCAAATGGAGGAGCGTTTAATGTTCCTCACAGTGGCTCAGGCGAGCCCAGACCCCATCGTCTTCGCGAGGGCGTTTGTGCCGCTCGCCCTCTTCAACTCCCTCGAGGGGGAAACCCTCGCGACGCTGTTCCAGATCGGGATGACGTTCCATCATCCCACGGAGCTCCCAGACACCACCAACCTGGACTGGAAGCAGACAGTCATCCGGTGTCTGGAGAGTCTCCGATCCCGATCCGGAACCCCTCCGTCGGCCGTTCCTGGGGCAAGTCAGCCGGCAGTTAGTGTGGCAAGCCCCAGGGACGTTAAAGTGGCAAGCCCAGAGCTCGCTCCAGTGTTGGCTCCAGCCCCAGAGCTTGCTCCAGTGCCGGCTCCAGCCCCAGAGCTTGCTCAGTAAAGCCCAGGAAGGGCTCCTGATCCCCAGTCCAGCCCAGGGAGGGCTCCTGATCCCCAGTCCAGCCCAGGGAGGGCTCCTGATCCCCAGTCCAGCCCAGGGAGGGCTCCAGATCCCACGTTAAGCCCAGGGAGGGCTCCAGGCCCCGACTACAGCCCCATAAAGTATTTTTTGGGGGGGGTAGTAAGGCTCCAGCCGTAGAGGCCGAGGTTGGGGCCGCGGCCTTGGAGGCTTCTTCACCATGGCCTCCTAAACTCCCTGCTCCGCCATGGCCTCCCGAGTCCCCTGCTCCGCCATGGCCTCCCGAGTCCCCTGCGCCGCCATGGCCTCCCGAGGCTCCTGATCCGCCATGTCACCCGGAACGTGTACTGCTCTGGAGGCCCAATGTCCCGTGTCTGTCCTGAGGGACTTCCAGAGTGCCCACCCCCCCTCCCCATTGGATGGTATATGACGTGAGGTCACGCCTTCCGGAGGGGGGCGTGATGTCAGACTCTGTTCCATGTGTGTGTGTGTGTCCTGCTCCCCATGCCCTTATTTGATTAGATTCCTGTTCCTCCCCTGATTAGTTTAGTTCATTTGTCCCAGGTGTTCCCCATGATGTGTCATTGCTCCCAGGTGTGTCTCGTGATCCTCTCCTCCTGTGTGCATTTAAAGTGTTCCCATTCCCTACTTCTCTGTCCGCTGTTAAAGGTCTTCCTGTGTTCGTCTTCCTTGGTGCAAATAAAGTCTTGGTAAGCCTTCTCCAGCGTCTCCTCGTCCCTCGTGTGTGTGTGCACCGTGACAGTATGTGTGTATGTCTGGACACTTGCTGAAACAGTTCATACAGAAATTGGTTGCCATGCATAATGTAATATAACTGAAGTATTACAATGCTTCTTCAGTGAATAATCAAGCAGTAAATCTGGAAATGTAAACAAGCATATCAGTACTGTATTGTTTTTAATATTTTATACATTTAATATTTTGTGTTTCTTTTTCCAATCCCCGCTGGAGCACATGCTGTCTGACTAACAGAGCTCACAAGACCAGTGACCGCTTGCCTTGCAGCTGTTACCTCACATTCATGCTTTGACATGGTTGTCATACTTAAAAGTTCAGGATTGAGGGGATCAGGGAGAGCCGGCAGACTTTTGACTTGTTTTTTTTTTTTTTTAAACAACTTAATGTCTTGACTACTCAACAAAAGATACAGTTCAACACATTACATTAAACAAGATATATTTAACACACACACAGGTTTGTTTTTGTGAAAAGTGGGGACTCTTCATAGGCGTAATGGTTTTTCTACTGTACAGACCGTATATTCTATTGCCCTACACCAACCCTACCCCTAAACCTACCCCTCACAGGAGACTTTGTGCTATTTCAGATTTTCAATACACTCCATTCTGTGTGATTTATAAGCGTTTTGAAAAGTGGGGACATGGGGTAATGTCCTGAAAAGTCACCTTCTCCTTGTAATACCTATGTTATACCTTTGTCATTATACAAATGTATGTCCTCATTTGTCGCAAAAACGCACACACCCACACACACAATAACATTTACTCCTGTATTTTGCAAAATGAATAGTAAGTTTTCACATCTTCTTCACCTTTTTTTTATTCACAGTGATTTCAGAAGAAATCAGTACCTATTTAATGCGAAATACCTTTCAAGGAATAAAAAGCTGTGTTCCTCTATTTATCTGTATTTAAAATGTATTATGTTATTTAATGGCTTTCAAGAACATAAGTCACAAAAGATCAAAAATGGAAACGGCAACATACAAAAATAAAATAAAGACTATTTATTGGCTTTGACGGTTCCATGAAGAACATTTAACATCCATAGAACTTTCCAAAATGCACAAAAGTTTCTTTAAAGAGAAAGAAGGTTCTTCAGATTATTAAAAAACTCTTCACACTAAGAAAAAAAAAGGTTCTTCTAGGCCAGGGGTGTCCAAACTCGGTGTCCTGCAGAGTTTAGCTCCAACTTGCGTCAACACCGGCCTTTAAGTTTCTAGTATGCCTATAAGAGCTTGATTAGCTGCTTCAGGTGTGTTTAATTGGGGTTGGAGCTCAACTCTGCAGGACACCGGCTCTCCAGGACCGAGTTTGGACACCCCTGGTCTAGGCCATCACCACTGTGAAAACTCCTTTTGAAAACTTTCTTTTTAAGAGTGTATAAAACAACGCGTCCTGGTCTCAGAATATACTGTTTCAGGACACCAATATATTGTTTTGCTGCCTAAATACATTTTGGGGAATTATCATTAAAGGGATATAAGTAGTTGTAGAATTTTTAATTGCTTCAGAATTTCTTCTTTTGTGTTCCACAGGAAAACTATCTTGAGATTCCTATTGACATGGGGCTTAGTAGCCTAAATAATGCCACTTTTTTTTTTTTTTTGCTATATAAGGCATTCTTGAAAGATATGTATTACTGGTCACTGGTGATTTTGTTCAAGCTAGCTGGAAACAGCAGTTGAGAAAGTGAAAGAGCAGTACGCCACTGAACTCGTGAGGATGCGCTGAGGGTGAAGGCAGCAGCAGTGAATGCGCTCCAGGGATGGCGCTGTAGCACCACAGCAAGCGCGCAGAGATTCCGCTCACCGAAGGGTCCTGGCTCCTGGCCCTGGTTCTAGTCTGCGCGTGTCAGTGGATGGTGACGCCGTGGGTTTGTATGCTGCTCTCTCTCTCTCTGGGGGATTTCGCACCATTTAATGCTTTGGATCAAACCGGGCGACACGCGAGACAAGGGTGTGGTTCTATCCAAAATGACATCGCCGAATGTAAATGACAAGTGGAAGTAGGATCTCTGCGCATCCGTTAGAGATGTACACCGCGGTGAGTGCTGCCTTGTCCTGGCGGGGGAGCCACATGCGATTAATCCTGATGGGGTTTTGTTTTATTGTCCACCTCTGATCATTTGAGTCTAAGTTGCAAAGAGCACATGTGTCTTTTAATCTCGGTCTGTTGTGCGCGCAGTGATGGTGAGATCGCTCGCAGCGCTGGTTTTATTTGCGCTCCTGTGCTGAATTCGCGATTCATTGCCTTTCTATTGTCTCTTCACACAGAGCTCCGGGTCTGGGAACGCGTCCCTGCGCTGTTCTATGTCTTCATCGGCAGATTTCTCCGATGAGGAAGAGTACAGTGCGAAATCTGGGTCGGTGTCGCCGGCACCGGGGGACACGTTACCGTGGAATTTACCCAGACACGAGCGCTCGAAGCGGAAGATCCAGGGAGGATCCGTGCTGGATCCTGCCGAGAGAGCGGTGCTCAGAATCGCAGGTAGGAACCCCAAATCTCCCAGTCTCCCTGCAACCATGCACGTCCATTCATTAGGCTCTTACAGAGAAAACGACGAGGCCTGTTGTTTGCTATTTGATCAAGCAGCAGTCAGTGAGCTACACGTGTGAATACAGAGTTGGATAAATAATAAAGGACGGCGAATTAACTCTGGGGTAGTTTGGGTTTTAAGAAAATTCAAGGCATCGGAACTTGAGTTGACTATATACAGTATAAGGGTGGTCCTGATCACGTGCTTTAAATGTCTCGCACTGGAAACACCTGATCCTTACATGCAAACTCTGCAGGTGTTCATCATCATCATCATCACAATAAGAAAAAGAATAAGCTTAAAGTTTCTTCTGATGCACGGTGAAACCGTTTTGGTAGCTGGAACTTCAGTGTTGTTTTTAAAAGCTCAAGGCTGAAAGATGAATCCGCAATCTGTAATGTGCATGTTGTCCTGCTCTGGAATGAGAGGACATTCCTTCTTAGGATTCTGTAACTTTATTACATATTCAACATGAGATTCAGACGGCAATATTACATGCCATAATAATATGTCATAATATATATATATACACACACACACATCATTTTATTCTATCTATCTATCTATCTATCTATCTATCTATCTATCTATCTATCAGAATAAGCTTAAAGTTTCTTCTGATGCACGGTGAAACCGTTTTGGTAGCTGGAACTTCAGTGTTGTTTTTAAAAGCTCAAGGCTGAAAGATGAATCCGCAATCTGTAATGTGCATGTTGTCCTGCTCTGGAATGAGAGGACATTCCTTCTTAGGATTCTGTAACATTATTACATATTCAACATGAGATTCAGACGGCAATATTACATGCCATAATAATATGTCATAATATATATATATACACATAAATCAATCAATTTATTCTATCTATCTATCTATCTATCTATCTATCTATCTATCTATCTATCTATCTATCTATCTATCTATCTATCTATCTATCTATTCTAATAGCCTATATACACACTCAGAAAAAAAGGTACAAAAGCTGTCACTGGGGCAGAACCATTTCAAAAGGTACACTTTTGTACCATATTTACCTCTAAAAGATGCATATTAGTATCTTAAAGCTACGTATGAATACATAAAGTATAAGTATAAAATGGCACATAGGCCTATTAGTACCTTTTGAAAGTGTACCGGCCCACTGACAGATTTTGTACCTTTTTTTTCTGAGTGCACAAACAGCTGTTCATCATTTGGCAGTGGCATGATATCTATTTCTATGATAAATATATCGTTAATGGTTTTATAGAATAATGATATAAACACATTCTACAGGCTTTATCCTACAAATATAGCAATACAACTTGCATTGTAAAAAAAAAAATGGAAAAGAAATGAATATAAGGCAAAGCCGCATGGTGTTTAGTATTATAAAAGTAGAGGTTGATGTGCATCTGCTTGAGAAGGTGTTGTTCTGTAAAGGAGAGTTGAGTTGGCCATGTTCATCATGTTCCCGTTGCAAACGCGAATCTTCCGGTTTTAGGACCTTGGAGAGCACGCGCGCCTCGCTTGTGTCACGGACACACGGCAGCCAGCGACCACCAGCCCGAGCCTCTCAAATAGAGGATGACTGTGCATGACACATTCTCCCCTTTATGTAGCCGGACATTTGAGATATCTAGCATTCGGGACGAATGCTGACCCCACGTGAACACATGAACACAGTAGCAGTACTAAACTAAGTTGTGAAAACTGCTATTATTCTCAAGAAGCTTATTATTGGGGTTTGCTGGAACGACAGTCACTATAACCACAGCCCGTCCTCGCCGGCTCACGGCCGAGATTTACGGCTGAGGCGGCAGAGGAAGCCCCGCTCATTGGCCGGTTGGCGGATCTGGGAGGGGAGGCAAGCAGGGGCGTCGCCGGTCAGTCAGGCACCCGGGCAGGGCTTCAGTTCGCTGGCGCGTTTAGTAAATGACCAGCCTCAACCGCCCCGCCAATGGCCCGTTACGCACCGGCTCCGTATATGCTCGCCGACGAATTGGAGTATCTCCAGGCGTACGAGGACGTGCTTGAGAAATATAAAGGTAAAGAATGAATCGAAGGAGCGGCAGCGAGACGGTTAACGGTGTCAGAACATCAGCGTGATTCATACTTGCAATAATTCATACATTGTTCCATTGTTTACTGAATAGAAACCGTTTACTTGGTAGCAGATTTGCTGACCCGGTATGAAAAAATGTTGATTAACTCGTTACAGTTTAATAAAAGACAAAACCCTTTTATTTCTGTCTGTCTGTCTGACAGATAGTGTAGAAATATTGTTCTGTTTGTGTGTTCAGGTGATTGTATTAGATGTTTGTAATATAAGCCCATTGTGTAATTCTGATTTGATTGGTAGCTTACATCAGTCTGTTGTGTCCCATCCATCCTGACCGCCCTCATGCACTTAAGGTGATGATACACTGGGCGACTTTTGCTTTTCTTTTTGTCAGCATCATCCTGCCAGTCAACCTCTGCTACATGCATTTCTAAGGAAATATACACTCTAAAAAATGCTGGGTTAAATACAACCCAGTGCTGGGTAAAATAGGGACAAACCCAGCAATTGGGTTGTTTTGACCCAGCGGTTGTGTTACTACCCAGAAT